AGCAGCAGCAGCAACAGCAGCAGGCACAGGCTGGTGCCTCCTCTCAGCCTGGTCAGACCCCGTCCATGTTCCAGTTTGCGCCCAACGGTAACATGCCTGGTATGCTCGATCCTTCCGCGCTCAAACTCGCGCAACAGCAGCCCAACATGTTCGGCGGTGCAGGCGCGCAGGTGCCCGGTGCTTCGCCAGTGCGACCCAATTCGGCGATCCAGCAGCAGCAGCACACACCAAACGGTCTTCCCTCCTATCTGCAATCCGGCAACATGAACCCAATGCAGCCCGGCCAGTCGTCGCCCGCGCCATCCCATCAGCAACCTGGAACGCCGCAGCAGTCCGCATCCAACGGCGCCATGCCTTCCACGCCCACCGCCGCCTCCAAGCCCAAACCACCACGGAAAAAGTCGGAGAAGAAGACTACGGCCAAGGCATCGCAAAACCAGACGCCCGTCATGCAGCCCGCCAACGTGCCCGGTACTGCCAGCATGCAGCCTTCGCCAAGCGCATCGTCGATAGCGGGCATCCAAGGCGCATCGCTGCCTGGGAGCGCTTTCGAACGCTCGCGCAGCCACACGCGGTCGCCCAGCGTGTCCTTGGGCGGCCAGGGCACGCCGTCACAGATGCATGCGTTGCCACCGGGTGTCCAGGGCATGCCGCCGCAGCAGCCTCAGCCACCCCTGCAGCAGCCGCAGATGGGCGTGCCAGGCCAGCCCGGCCCGCCCCAGCCACAGCAGGTGGTGCCGCCCAACTGGACGCCGAGCCTCAACCCGCAGCAGCAGCAGGCCGTACTCTCTCGCGCGCTTGCGCTCGCCAAGGCTCAGGAAGGGTCGGGCCTCACTCCGGTGCACACGCTCATGCAGATGGGCTACCTCTTCTTGAAGGCCTCGAGCTTGCCCGGCGGATCGCATCCGGCCATGATGCCCAACGGCGGGATGGTGCTGACGATCAACGAGGCGCGCGGATTAGGTCTGATTCCACAGCAACAGGGTGGACAGCAGCAGCGTCAGCCTTCACTGCCCGGCATGCCGCCACAGCCGGGTCAGCAGCCGGGTCAGCAGCAGCCGCAGCAGCAGCAAAGCCAGCAGCCCGGCTTCGGTGCGCCTGGCATGTCGCCTCAGCAGCAGCAGCAGCAGCAGC